CAGGTGTCATTTTGGGCGACTCCGGCTGTGTGAGTTCGTTCTCATGACTCTCTAAATCCATTACCAGAAGAAGAACAAAGAAAACCTCAATCTTAATTGCGCGATTAAGGTGGCGTTGTCAAGGAGCAAACGACGGTACAGCTCCAGTGGTTCTGTTGTTGTTGTTGTTGCAAATGCCACACAGGAAGCTCCCAACACAATTTGCACCGATGTTTCGTGCCCCATCTGCCAGATATAGATTCATAAATAAACACCCGGCGAGGAGCGGGCAGTGGGGGGTGTGGGGCTTTGCACGCGCCGGTAAAATGAGTGGAGACAGATTCCTAAATAGCTCCCCCACGGATCAGCTGACAAACACGTGGCGCCATCGCGTAAAGATTCCCCCCCCCTCCCCAAACCACCAACACCCCCCCCCCCAATCTCCATCACCCCCCTCCACCATCCCCTACACCCACCCACCGACCCCCCCCCCCCCCCCCCCGGCTCCCGGCGCTCGCGGCATCAAACGTCTTACAAACGCGGGGGCCCATGGCATTAAATACAACAACAAGAAGAATTCAAAATAATAAAAATATAAATTTCCCCACGCGGCTAATTTGTCACGCAGCAATTAAGCGACGATCGTATTGGAAGCAAATTTGTCTCGAGCGGTATAAATAATTTGCGGGGCTATGCTGCCCCCTCTGCCGACTGATATGCGTTCCTTAATGGCTTATTAGCGTGGCACAAAAAATATTGTTTATCTCCAAAAAAAAACCGATACAATACACCTCGCCCATCAATCTGTTTTTTTTCATATAGTTGGAAGCGACGAAGGGACGGGACATGTCATTTTTTTTGCTTTGGCACACGCGATCCGGCCGTGACGAACGGGGAGCGAACCGTTTATTCTCTCTGCGGTGGCCGGCGCTTTGATTTGGAAACTCCACCACCGTGTCGGATTGTTGTGTTCGCGTGAATCCCACCACCCCTCCACCCCCCTTCCTCCTCCTCTACTTTGCCCGGCTGAAAGCCACCGTTCGTCGCGATTTGTCACCCGAGAGCCGTGTGACATACGGCACGGATGGGATGGAGAGAGAGAGAGAGAGTTATTTAAGCCTCCTCCTTTCTCCTCCTCGGCATCGAGGAGGGCTCGGCTGCGTGACACCTACGACGGCATAAAACAAATACCGTCGCAGGGTCGTTCATTTTAATACGCCGAGCCTGACACTTCTCAGAGGAAAATGGGGAGTAATGTTTCTGCTCTGCCTCCTCGAGAACGCTGCGGGCAGTAAAGAGTCACCGTGCCGCCGCGTGACCGTTTACCCTACGCCGTGAGAACAACAACAACAACACCACCAACAACAACAACAACACGCTGTTGTCGCCACCATGAGCACCCACGGTGGCTGGGAGATGTTAACTACCTCGCCTGGTATGCAGGAGGTCGTAGGTTCGATCCCGATCCAGACGCCTGCTGCTGCTGCTGTATATTTGGAGTTTGTATGGCTCACCCCGTGGTCGCGTGGATTTATCAGGAGGTACCTGGCCACAAACGATCGCCCTACGAAGTGGATGGTCGTGTGGAAATGTATCGCAGCCAAACACTCTAAATGCGCGTTTCTAAATGTGGAGGGGAAAACCCCGCAAGACGCGGAGAAAAATACACGCCGCCACGGCGAGAGAGAAACACGCAAACTCCAAATGTACAACAGGCGTCCGGGTCGGCATGGAACCCACGAGCCATACCAGGCGAGGTAGTCAACATCTCGCCACCGCCGCCTCCCTCAGCTGTAACTCCCTTCACACCGCGCCCTCACCCCCAGCTGTTCGTGCTGCCGAATCCCTGTCCCCATGGCTGAACTCCTCTTTCTCCAAGACACAAATACCTACTCTTAGGTTGTTTCGGTAAAGTCATGTAGGTAAAAATAAGAAATAAATAATAAATAATAAAAATATTTGAAATCATAATAGAAATAAAATAATCAATCACGAAGTTTCGGGCGCAACACAAGCGTCCATCATCAGGTGGGACAACCACGTGACTTTACCGAAAAAACCTAAGAGTATGAATCCTTGCAGTCACGAAAGCTTCAAATCTAGACACAAATATCCCCAACTATTTCGGCACAACGTCAAGAGACGCGGTCCTGTTCGGCCGCTGTGTTAGATCCACATCGTCTGCCATCCCTGACGCAAGACCCAGGTCGATGCGCTGCCACTGAGTTATCCATTTATCAGGAGAGACGGGCTAATGTTTGTTTGTTTACTTGCTAGAACAACAACAACAACAAATCCACAAAGCAATGTCTATAATGCACACTCGCCACGCAAGAGGGGGAACGGACGAGCAATGAGAGATGAGAGGGAATGAGCTGATACGAAGCCAACGAGATGCATTCACGATGGACGCTGTTGTAGTGCACAGTGCAGTATGTATCTCTGCTCCCGGCACACGGCATCCAGTAGTGTATAGTGTAGTGTTGTTGTGTGTAGTTTTGTGCGTAGTGTGGTGTGGAGTGATGTTTATAGTGTTGTGTGTAGTGTGTGTAGTGTATAGTGCTGTCTGTAGTGTTTTGTGTAGTGTGTGTAGTATGTTGTGCTGTCTGTAGTGTTGTGTGTGTAGGCCCTAGTAAAACTTCGTAGCCGGGAGTCGGATCCATTCCCTGTTCACCTTGGGGTGCGACAGGGATGTCCTCTGGCTCCCACATTACTCAACATCTTTTTCCACCAAGTAGTTCATGAATCCTTCTATATCTGTACCGGAAGAATTTCCATCTGGTACAGATATAATGGGAGGCTGATCGATGCCCTGGTGCGGTCAAGGGATGGCTCCCTATTGATCAACAACGCTATTTATGCCGATGATCTGGTGATTGTACCGGGTGACTAAAGCACAGCAAGTTGGCACAATAGGGGGCACAGGTGGTGCATCAGCCACTCATCTCAGTCAGTCAACCCGTGGCACCTGGATCTGTCCCGTGACCTCTTGCCAGCGGGCGTTCGACAATTCACGTGGCCTCAACGTGCACATAGCCTGGTACAAGCGTCGTGGTGACGTCACCGCCACTCAGTGGCGAATGGCGGTTGTTGTTCTAGTGTATAGTGCTGTGTGTATGATTGTGTGTGTCGTGTTGTGCGTAGTATTTTGTGTGGAATGCATCGTGTTGTGTGTGGTGTTGTGTGTAGTATTGTGTATGTAGTGCATAGTGGTGTGCGTAGTGGTGTGCGTAGTGGTGTGCGTAGTGGTGTGCGTAGTGGTGTGCGTAGTGGTGTGCGTAGTGGTGTGCGTAGTGGTGTGCGTAGTGGTGTGCGTAGTGGTGTGCGTAGTGGTGTGCGTAGTGGTGTGCGTAGTGGTGTGCGTAGTGGTGTGCGTAGTGGTGTGCGTAGTGGTGTGCGTAGTGGTGTGCGTAGTGGTGTGCGTAGTGGTGTGCGTAGTGGTGTGTGTGTCTTGTGTCGTGCCGTGTGTCGTGTTTGTTTTCCGCTACAAACACGCGCAGCAAGAGGCATCGCATCTGGCAAACGCGCAGGACGCGCTCTCCTAACGCGATTAAGCCCCTAATAGAAGCGTGCATCGTCAATTAGGGAGCTGCGCCCGATAATCTGCGCAGACGACGCCAAACGCGGGGCCTGAGAGCAATCATCGCAACTCGCCGGTATCGCTTTATCGTCCTCGCCACGATTGCAAAACCCCCAGGTGGTGGGGAGGGGTGCAGGGGAGGGGGGTGGGAGGGGGGGGTGCAGGGGAGGGGGTGGGAGGGGGGGGGCGAGTGGAGGAGGATCGGGCAGCCACTCTCACCAATTATAATTGCTAACACATTTTTTCTTCCTAGGTAGTAAGTGTTATTTCGTAATTGCTTATGCCTAAAAAATATAGAAAATGGCATTTGTTCCCCACAAACTTTGCTTTTGTTACCAGGACAGTGATGTTTAGAAATTGACCTATTTTCAATGAGAAAACTGGCGAATTTGTGTTTTGCGTTCACAAAGTCAGAAGAAAAAAAAACATACGAATCAACATATGGTCACAAAAGCAAAGTTTGTGGAGAATAATATCAATTTTATGTACTTTTGAGGCATAAGTAATTGGAGGTGAAGTCAGACCGCGTGTTTCACCCCCCGGGTCTGCAGCCCTCACAGTCCACCACAAAGACAAAGAACCCCCCCCCCCCCCGTATAGCCTCAACAGACTGTTGTGGCAAGTGCTGTTAGCGAGTAGCGCCTATGAAAGGCGGGCCCGGCGCACGAGGGAGTGGGTGACCAACACCACGCCCGGCCGCCTTTGTCTCCCCAGTGGCGACGTTTACACACCAGACCGGGGACTAATTTGAGGCTGAGTCGATCTAGGGGAGGTAAGACCGGTTCCAGTAATCGTCACCGGCGTTGGCCGTGAGCGGGAGCCGAACTCCAGTCGCCGGGTTCGTAGCGCAGCTTCTCACAACTCCACACACGCGCGCGCGTGAACCCGTCCACTCACCCATTAGGGTTCTATATGGAAATCAACGCAGGGCGGCGTGTTGGGGTTATTCCCCTCGCTGAGAGCGAATGCACCACAGACCCTCCTGTGGGCCACATGCCGCTCGGCCCTCGCTGTCACACCCACGAGTCCAATATTCACAGCAGCCGCAGCAGCCGCAGCAGCCGCAGCAGCCGCAGCAGCCGCAGCAGCCGCAGCAGCCGCAGCAGCCGCAGCAGCCGCAGCAGCAGCGCGCACAGACAGGGAGTCATCTCAGAATGATTTGGGGGGAAGGTGCGGCAGAGGTGGGTCACAATACTCAGGAAGTATAACGTTGCGCTGATGTTATAAAGGGATTTCGGGGTTTTTGTTGTTACCCTACAGACAACCAGCCGCATATATCGAAGGGTCGCCCAGACCTTGGAGAAACTAAAGAAGCCGCGCTAAAAGTCAGCGCGCTCATTTCCCCCAACCCTCCTCATAGCCCCCCTCTCTATCAGGTACCCCCCTCTCCCAGCCCCCCCGCCCGCCTCTCCCAGCCCCCCCTCTCCCCCGCCCCCCTCACCAGGGTGCAGAAGCGCTCTGGCGGGTCCCCGCACGTGATGTCGGGCGGCTCGAGGCTGACGCGCACGAAGCGGCCCAGGTCGGCGGTGGGCGGCTGGCACGCCGAGTACTCCCAGGCGGGCGCCAGCAGCTTCGAGTCCCAGCTGACGGTGCTCTTGCAGACGTCGTACTGCGCCAATGCCCGGCGGGGGCCGCACAGACACAGACCCAGCAGCAGCAGCAGCAGCGGCAGCAGCAGCGGCGGCAGCAGCGGCAGCGTGGGCCAAGCCACAGCGACCCGCACTGGGACTCGAACCCGGACGACAGGGACTCGAGGTCCAGTGTTGCCCACGACTCCCAGCATCACGAGGAGGACGCCAGCGTTACGGCTCCAGGATGGTGGTGGTGGTAGTGGTGCTTGGTGGTGGTTGTTTTGACGGTGGTGGTGGTGGTGGCGGCGATGGTGGTGGTGGTCTCAGCGATTTGCGAGTCGTAGAGTTCTGTTGAAGAAGTGCCCAGACACACAAACACAGACAGACACACATAGACACACACAGACACACACACACAGACACACACACACAGACACACACACAGACACACACACACAGACACACACAAACAGACGCACACAGACACACACACAGACACACACACAGACACACACAGACACACACACACAGACACACACACAGACACACACAGACAGACACACACACAGACACACACACAGACACACACACAGACACACACAGACACACACACACACAGACACACACACAGACACACACACAGATACACACACAGACACACACACACAGACACACACACAGACACACACACAGACACACACAGACACACACACAGATACACACACACAGACACACAGACACACACACAGACACACAAGACACACACACACACAAACACACACACGTGTTGTCGAACGAGGAAGCACAAGCACAGACTCAACATGCGCGTCAAAGAAACTGCCGCGGAAATAGAACAGGCGACGTTTCGTGCAGTGGCCCTTCTTCAGAGCACGTGACGTGCTCGTATGTGCTGTGTGGAAGAGCAAATTTCTGCAGCAAAATAAGTACTGAAGTGAAACAGGCGACTTTTTTCTGAAAATTTATCTTCTACATGGCACACACAAATACATTTTGTGCTGTTAGGAAGCCACTGAAGCTATGCACTTTTACATCTAGACAGAAATACTAATTTCTCTAGAACTGCTTTTTGTGTTTAGTTTGTTGTCCTTCCCCATCTTCCGATTAGCACTACGTACGGCGCAAAAGAAGTTCAACATATAGTACGTAGATATGAATAAGGGCCATTGTGTATTATACGTATTTATCCATAACAGAGGTTTTTGGGTTAGATCACGTAAATACAAATGTGTCGTGAAACCCGCCACCACCCGACACAGCCAATTAGTAAGGTTTGTGACGTAAACAGAACGTGCCAATTCGTTACTAGTTCAGTACATGTATATTATGTATACATGCAATAGATACAGGGTCCTTCAAAAAATGTTAACACTTCTGAGAATTTTCAACAACACCACTAGAAATGCGCTTCCAGGCTCTGGAGACCACCTGGAGAAGATTCCAGGCACTGCGTTGACAACGCTGGTGTTATTACGTTACAGTGGAAAAATTATCCGTTCAATTTACATTTGAAAACGATAGTCTCATGTAAGTGTTCACATATTTTTGAAGCACCCGGTACACGTAGGCCGTCTCAACTCCTAGGCGTGCGTGATGCTGCTCCATTGGCTTTACCTGCACCCTGACTGCTGCTGCTCCTGCTCCTCCTGCTGCTGCTCCTGCTGCTGCTCCTGCTGCGGCTGAGCACTCCCGCTGGCCGCTGACCCCATTACGAGCTCCCTGGGGGATGATGAAGACTCGTGCCGATTGACCCCCTTATCGCTGGCGGGAGGATCCGAGACCCATTACCGTGATTGGAATATCCAAGTGCATGCCCACGACGACGACGATGATGATGATGATGCTGTTACCTAGAGCCGGAGCAGGGCTGTCTGCCTTTATAACGGAGGAGGGAGGCGGCGGGGGTGGTTTAGATTGCACTGCCACAAGCCCAGCGTTCCTAAATCCACGTTTAAGACTGCTTATGTAAGCTGCGATTATGGATAGGTCACTGATTTTCAAAGTGAGAGCAGAGTTAGTATTGGTTAGACTTTTTTGATACTTTTTTTTTTGGGGGGGGAGGGGTTCTGCTGAGAGAGTGTATTGTGTGTATGTTGTGTGTGTGTTGTGTGTGTGGTGTGTTTTTGTGTGTGTGTTGTGTGTATGTGTTGTGTGTGTTGTGTGAGTGTGGGGGCCGGGTGTCTGCGTGCGTGTTTGTTGAGTGTGTGTGCGCAAGTGTGTATGAGTGTGTTTACATTGTGTGTGTGTGTGTCTGTGGTTGTATGTACACTTGTGTTTGTCAGTGTGTGTGTGTATATCTGTGATTGCTTGTGTGTATGAGTGCTTGAATGTATGAATGCGTGTGTGTGTGCGCGAGTGTTTGTTAGTGTTTAGCGTGAACGGGTGCTCGCTAACAGCACTTGCCCCAACAGTCCGTTAGAGGCTACCTGGGGGGTCTTTGTCTTTTTTAGTGTTCACGTGTGTGTGTGTGCGTGTGTGAATGCAAATGATAGGCTAATTTGTTTCCTTCGTCCTGGCTAATGATGGTGATAATCAACTGCGAAGGATGAGTCCCGACAGTTGTCGGGTCAGAGGGCAACCTTCCTTCCGCACGTGCACAATTTCTCCGACACTTGTGGAGTCACGGACGTGGCGGCTGCCGCGTTTGTCTCCTCGGTCTCTCCAGCCTGTCGACACTCGCACAGACCATTCATCAAGATCACCACCATCCGTCAATAGCATCGTCATTATCATCATCATCTGCCCACCCACTCGATGTTCCGTGTATATGTGTGGTTGCTGTGATTAGGGGAACGGTGGTGCGGTGTTTAGTGCGCTGCGCTACGAATCCGACGACCAGAGTTCGATTCCGCTGCTCACGGCCAACATTGGTGACGCATTATTACAACCGGTCCTGTGTCTCCCCTAGGTCGACTCAGCCTCAAATGAGTAGTTGGTGCCTCAAATGAGTAGCGGTATTCAGGTGGAACAAGCGGACTCCTCCACTCATCTACCACCCCAGAGTTCGTGGTATGGTCTGCAGCATTAAAAAGACTATTTATTTTATAATAATAATAACAATTATTATAAGACACTTTGTTTATTTATCCAGGAATGCCACGCTGAGTCGTAGGACACATTTTAAAGAGGGTCCTCCACTGGAGTTTTATTCTAAGACGCGTTTAGCCAATCCATGATGAGAGGGAAGCAACACTCCATCCCCCTACCGATGGAAACAGATGGTGATCAGTCCACTTGCTGCCCTCTGCTGGCGAGCCAAGGGTATTGCACCTACTGGAAGCCCACGGATCGGAAGGGAGTTTCAGCGCACCGTCTGCGCGTGATCCACCAACCCTATGCTGCTGCCCCCACAGTGCTGGAGGATTACCGGCAGACACGTGCAGCAGCAAACGTAGCCACCAGCCGACTACTGCGCTCACCTAACAGCCCGGGGATTGCTGCAGAATGGCATTAAACATGCAGCTGTAGCCCTGCAGAATGGCCCACAGCGTTAAACATGCAGCTGTCGCCCTGTTGCTGCTGTTGCTGTTTTGTTCAGATGCCGTAGGGGTGTGGGGGGAAGAATTTCAAGACCATCTGAACGCTCGCCGGCACAAGGTGGCAGGGCTGCAAATGCGAGCGAGGGGGATGATGATCCGGCGATCCGGAGGAATTACGGGGGGGGGAGGGAGGGGGGTTGGTAGGAGTCGAGGGAGGAGGCGGGGGGGGCTAATGGAAGGGGGTCAGTAATTATGTTATCATCATCGTCGTCATTATTATCATTATTAATGCGTGAGATGCAATGCTGTTTAATTAATCCTGGCAGCCCGTCTCTCGCCCCCAACGTCGTGAGCGCATCGCCCCGGCGGACGGACGGACAGAAAGAGCCAGACGCGCCGAGGCTTTCTCGGTGGCTCCGGAACGACGCGTACCACCGCCATCACCAACTCGTTCTATTTTATTTTTGTTTTAAAAATCACGGTTTGCGGAGGCACAGGGCTGAAAGGCTCCAACCGCGCCAGGCGGCCAGCGACGAAGGGCACGATTGAAGTTGGAACGAATCAGGGTTATTAGATTTCCGCAGCCGGAGTGCCGCGTGGAGTGCACATCTCGCTACTAGACACGTACCACCTACCTGCAGAGTAGCAGCAACTCTGTAAAATATTTCCGCGCCCAGCACGCAACATCGAGGATGCATGTCGCTATGGCCGTGGCCGCTAGTCTCTGCATGCCACCTTCCTGCAGAGTAGCAGCAACCCTGCGAAATTATTACCCGGTGCGGTGTGTGGTAAACATCGCCACGAGGGGGACAAAGACGACCGGGCGTGGCTCGGGTAGGGGCAGGCAGGGGGTGCCTTGCCCCCCCCCCACCCCCCTTGCTGTCCAAGGATACGAGTTGGGGCCCTTAAATTTCGATTTAAAGCTTTCGTGACTGCAGGGATTCATCTTCTTGGTTCTTTCGGTAAAGTCATGTAGAATGGAAATAATTTAAAAAAATGAAATAATAAAAATAAAACAATTAAATAATTGTTATTTTTATTATTTTATTATTGCCATTCTACGTGACTTTACCGAAAGAACCAAGAAGATGAGTTGGGGCCCCCTTGACAACCGCCGTTGAGATTTGTTTTCAAGTTCAAAAGACCAAAAAAAATGCGGTTGAAATTTTCTTTTCTTTTTTCACGAGAATGCTTTGATTTAGGGGTTTGTTTTACGTTAATTTTCAATTCATTTGACCGTGCGAGACAAATCAAATATTGCAACACCCCCTGAGCCGCGAATGCAGCTACGCCACTGACTTTACCCGCAACAGTCTACCGAGGGCTACACAGCGGACTACAAACGGCCCCGGATCCCAATGGGCCGACGCTGGGGGGGGGGGGGGGTAGGAGCGCGTGTCGCGATAATGAATACAAACAAGGAGTGGGTCCCCCCCCCACCCCCCATATGTCCCTGTTCTGTGTAGCTCAGCAGAACGTATCCGCAAAGCCGCCACGCGCTGTCTCTCTCTGACCGCGCCCGCGATCGATGGGCCGCGCCTCGCCGTGCGTTGGGCTCGTCACCCATCCCTCGCATTCATCTTCCCCCGCCTGGTTATTCGTCTGTCCGCCTGCTTACGCATCTGTTTATTAATCTGCCCGCCTGTTTATTAATTCGTGCGTGCGTCCCTCTGTACCCTTCGTCTCCACGTTAATTAATTCATACAACCGGCAAATCGTTCAACGGTCCGCTTTCATTCGTCTGCGCGTTCGTTCATTCGTTCATTCAGCCGACCGTTCATTCATGAATTCGTTCAGCCAACAGGTGATGTGTACACAAAGACAAAGATCTCCCGAATAGCCTCAACGAATTGTCGGGGCAAGTGCTGTTAGCGGGTGGCACCTATGAAGGCCGACACAGCACACGAAGGGGGTGAGTGGGTGGCCAGCACCACGCCCGGCCGCCTTTGTCTCCCTCGTGGCGATGTTTACACACCGCGCCAGGTTACTCATTTGAGGCTGAGTCGACCTAGAGGAGCGGGAATACCAACCCGGGTCGCCGGGTTCATACCACAAGTGCACAGATCACATCCACGACCACTCCACCCAACCCCTTATAACCCTAAACAGAATGTCCGGGGCTAATGATGGTAGCGAGCGCCAAACGAAGGCCGCATCCAACGACACGCGACGGTGGATGAGTGGCCCGATCCATCCCCACACCCGGCCGCCTTTGTCTCTCCCACGTGCTGTAGCGCCCCAGCCCCGCGCTGTGCGGACCGCACGGCGTCTCTCCTCACTCTCTCTCTCTCTCATCCCCGCCGCTCCACTCGCGACGAAGGAGACGGCGATGGAGCCGCACTGATAGCGGCTCTGTGCGCGCGTGCGTGCCCGAACCTGGCGCGGCGTGTGAACGTCGGCAATGGGGAGACAAAGGCGGCCGGGCGTGGCGTTGGCCTTACCCACCCCTCGTGGGTGGGCTGCATCGGCGCTCGCTCAAAAGCACTTGCCACAAAAAGTCTGGTGAGGCTTTACGGTTTCCCAGCTTAAGGCTCGCATCGGCGGCTCGTGACAAGTAGCATCAGAACGGGCGTTGGGTCTCCCTAAGGTCGACTCAGCCGCAAATGAGTGCCTGGTGCAGTTTTTGTGCATCAGCTGTTTTCGCGTTGTGCCACTGTGTGCTCAGTGTGTGTACATTCGTGTCTCGTTATAGGGGTGGACTTACGAAATGATGGATTGCCCGTGACGAATGCAGCCAGAGTGTTGTATGAGGTGCGGTAGTTGTCATATATATACACACACACAAAGACAAAGATCCCCCTTATATCCTGCACAGGATGTTGGGGCAAGTACTTTTTGAAATCGCATATGAAGGCCAACGCGGCGCACGAGGGATTTGGGCGGTCGTCACCATGCCCGGCCGCCTTTGTCTCCCCATCGGTGATGTTTAGACTAAGTTGAGGCTGAGTCGACCTGCGGGAGGCCCAGGACCAGGTTCAAATGTTCACCACCTATTGTTCGTCCGTGGGAATCGAACTAGGGCGGGCCGGGTTCGTCGTGCAGTGCGCTGACCACTCCGCCACCACTCCCCACACACAATGTACACACACGCAGACGTATACAACGGTGTGAGATTTGAAAACGCCTGCTGCCGCTGCTGCTGCTAATGACTTTGCTGCTGCTACTATTGTTGCTGCCTCCGCGTATGATTCTGCTTTAGTTGCTGCTGCTGATGCTGCAACTGCTGCACACGTTGCTGTTATAGCTGCTGCTGCTGCTGCTGATGATGCTTCTGCTGCTGCTATCGTGGCTGCTGACTTTGCTGTTATTGCTGATTGCTGCAAATTCTGCTGATTCTGCTGCTACAATTGCTAGTGCTGCTGCCGCCTAAGATTCTAATGCTGCTGTTACTGCTGCTATCGCTACTGTTACTGCTGTTGCAACTATTGCACCTGCTGCTACGGCTTCTGCTAGGACCTGCAACTGCTGCTGCAACATTCTGCTGCAATTACTGCTGTCGCTTTTGACGCTGCTCATGCAGCTGCTGCGAGTGATTTTGCTCATACTGCAACGGCTGCTGCTACTGCTGATATAGCTGCTACTCTTGCCACGACGACTGCTGCAAATACTGCTACAACTGCCGCAACAGCTGTTGCTACTGTTACAACTGCTACTGCTGCTACGACTGCCGCTGTTACAACTGCAACTGCTACAGCTGCTACAACTGCTGATGTCACAACTGTTACTGCTACAACTTCTCCTGTTACAACTGCTGCTGCTACAACTGTTGCTGCTACAACTGCTCCTGTTACAACTGCTTCAACTGCAACTGTTTCAACTGCTGCTACAACTGCTTTAACTGCTGCTGTTACAACTGCTGCTGATACAACTGCAATTGCTTCAACTGCTGCTGTTACAACTGCTGCTGCTTCAACTGCTCCTGCTTCAACTGCTGCTGTTACAACTGCTGCTGCTTCAACTTTTACTACTTCAACTGCTGCTATTACAACGGCTCCTGTTACAACTGCTGCTGCTACAACTGCAACTGCTTCAACTGCTCCTGTTACAACTACTGCTGCTTCAACTGCTGCTGCTTCAACTGCTGCTGTTACAACTGCTGCTGTTACAACTTTTACTGCTTCAACTGCTCCTGTTACAACTGCTGCTGCTACAACTGCTTCAACTGCTGCTATTACAACTGCTACTGC